ATCTTTTCGCTAGCTGATGAGTTTTCTAAAAAGAAAAGAATGATGGGAAAGGAGTTGGAATGAAAGTAAGAGACAAAGAGAGCTGATAGGCTAGAAATTTCGCAAAAAGAGAAGAAACACCCTGTGAGATAGTGGCTGCAAAAACCAGCTCCTCAGAGGTAGAAATGGCAGAGTTTGGAGCCCTGGCCTGAGAGAGGGGCGAGTTCTCCTGCAGGGTGGGGGTGAGCAGAGGAGGAGGTGGAAGAGGGGGGTGGGCAGAGGAGGCCAAGGTAGGGCATAGGCCCAGGCAGCAGTGCCAGTGCCTGGAGCCTGGGGCCCAGTACATCTGCCCCAGACTGGGCACAAAGTCACTGTGTCTGTAATACTCTGTCCCCAGCTTCCACGAGGTGCCTGCAGGCTGAGGCTTCCGTCTTTAAAGATCCCTGCAGCCTCCCTGCGTGTGCAGTGTTCTGCGGTGTGAGGGCCACCAGGGAGCAGTACTTCTGAGACCGATACTGAAGGGAAAGTGGCCAGGAGGAGAAGGCAGCCCAGGGGAGTCAGAGGAGGCAGAGGCACCTTCCCTCTGACAGGGATGCCCGTGCAAACCAGAGCAGAGAGCACAGGGGTAAAAGCCTCCAGACACATCCTCGCTCTTGCCTCTCTCTCTATCAGGCCTTAACGAGGGCAGAGCCTGTGGTCCACGAGACTGGGAGAGCTCTGGGCACAGGCCAGAGGGGCTCCCTCGGTGCACAGCAGCCTTTAAAGCAGCTTGAATTTATTGTGGCTCTTAAGCAGCCCAGGCTAATGGCTTGGCAGGGGTAACGTCTCGGTTTAATCGGTTATCGCGCGAGCTGCTTGTTTCTCCTGCGGAATCCCTCGTCCCTGCCTTCAGAGCCATCTCTCACAGCCTCCTGGAATCAATGCAGCCCTCACTCAGACTTGCCTCGGATGCAGCCACTGCCTCAGGGAAGGAGCCTGTCTCCCACGATTGTGGCCTGCTTGGGGACACTGTCGTTGGAGCTCATGAGTGCGCAGAGGTGTGGGTTGCCATGGGGGGATGGGATGGAGACACCTCTGTCAGTAACCAACTCTTGGGCGTGTCTTTTTTCAAGATCAAGGTGGAGGGAGGGAGTCAGAACTGGACAAGGAAGTGAGAAACTAATACCTTCTCACGTTTGCAGAGCAAGCCCTTCAAAGCAACAGGTGCATCCACCCAGAGCCTAAGCAAGCCTCTGAGGTGGGAGATGCCGCCCAGGGGGAGGAGAACTTCTTCACAGCAGGGGATGGTATTTGTATTGCAGAGAACAAAGAGCCCAGATGATCCTAATTTTTATTGCGGCATTTCTTTCCAAGGTCACGATATTTTTCTTATGTCTTCCTAAATCTCCTGACCTTAAGTATATTTTGTTCTTGTTTTCTTTTCACGTGTGGGAAATATCCTAACCTTTGTGATCCAAAAGCCACTTGTCTGGAAGCTGTTTTAGGCTGAGCATGCTGTGATGTGATACAGTGTTTTCATGGTGGACTCCCAGCCCCATGGGCCAGGAGCAGTTGGACATAGGGACAGGGACTTGTCTGTGTGGCTCAGAGCCTGCCTTGGTGCCTGGCAGGTCTCACGGTGCCACTGATGCTAAATGAAAGTTCCCAGGAAGATTAAGGAGAGGAAAACATTAAGCCGTGCAGCCATATCTTATTGATTTGTATGTCAGTTATTTTTATGTCCTATTTCATATTGGTATCATCTATATATTAACCAAAATGATTTCATGTCAAAGGAATTCGGAAAATCAAGGTTTCTGAAGTACAACTTACAGCATGTTTTAAATGGAATCTGCTAGAGCAAATCTCCAATTATAACGCTTAAAACCATAACAATATGGAACAAAAACTGCCTTAGCCTGTCAAATGGGCTGGCTGACTCTGTCTCCTGATACCGTTTACATGTGGAATTTGCCACATGAGACATCTGGACTCATGTGTGGATTTAGATTATTTTAGTTGCCAAGGAGTTGTTTTCTTTATTGGTTGAGATATTTTAAATTTATATTTGAATACCCTTAATAATTCATGCTTCAGTCTTGTCTTTCCCTTTAGCCTGTAATGTTAGCTAGTCGTTGAACATCCTGAGTGTGATGGTACCAGTTGCTACTTTCCAGAGGAAAAAGGTCAAATTCCAGTTTGGCAGAGATTCTTTTGGCCTCAATCATTCACCCCTGGGTTCCCAAGGTGCTAGAGAGAGGGAGGTATGGAGCTGGCAGGCTGCAGAAGACAGTCCACACCCTCCAGGCCCAGTGAACCATGGGGACAAGGAAAGACAGTATTGGTACTCCTGTGTGTGTTTATCTGAGATCATACTTTTAACTTTATGTATATTTTATAAAGTACTCTATTAACCTACTGATGTTTTAACGTAGCTCTAATGTAGACACAAAAAATACATTGACTGCTAGGACTATATTTAGAGACCTCTGCTCCAAGCTTAGTGGCCTCCTGTTGGCAAGTCCATCTTTCTCCAGAGTTCATATCCAATCAAAGGGAAGAAAAGATTTCTCCCAGCTCAGTGGAGCAGCTGTGTGATGCTCCTGGCTGAGGGGAGTGTCGGTCTCTGGCCCTGATGTCTTTAACAATGGCACTTTACTTGGTCCTTTCTCTAGGAACCAAGGGGCTCTCCAGCCCAGACTTTGCCATGATTTCCGAGGTGAAGGACTGAGTCATATTCTTGGGCTATCTCCAGCCTAGATTGTGGTGTTGGCTTCCCTGACTCAAGGTCATGGCCAATAGGCAGTGAGAGTTAATTCAGTGTTCCTCTCTGCCAAGAAAGCTGATAATGCTCTCTGAATCCTCTGGCAGTCTATGCTGATTGTAGGGATGGGTGAGGATTATACATTGTTGGGTACAATTACCTCCCAGAATACAATGCATCTTCTTTTAGACATCCCAGGGAGATAATTTGGACGTAATGAAGATCTATAGTAATCAGATAATTACTATCGATCGCTCTTTAGACGTCTTGATGAGGTAATTAGGGCGTACTGGAAAGAAGCTAGGACTGACTGATTGGCATGACTGTAATCTCAAAGATTTCTAATTATGTTTCTTTTCTTCTAATGGCTTATAAACAAACATCATTTTAGCTTTAGAATTTGTCAGGTGCCAGGTTCACTGGGAACATCAGCTTTCCCTATTATGCTAACTAGACACCGAACATGATCAACATAAGCTCATTATGTCTTCCTGCTGAAGCAGAAGAAACTGCAATTAACCCTCACTTTTCTCAGGCTTCTGCATTTTCACGTGGCCAGATTCTAGTCAAGGAATGGGGCACCGTATGAAGTGCATGTGTGCCAGATCTGTATGGCCTGCTGGGTTGCCTCAGAGCCAGGGCACAAGGACACAACATACATGTCAGGGTGGCTGGCTGCTCGTGGTTGGGGGCTGGCTGACTGCTCGGGCCTCTGTCCCAAGTCATAGCTGCTCATTAGGTAGCAGCAGTAAACAGCAGGCCAATGCTGTCAGGCAGCTGGATGGGGTACTACTTCTATCAGCGAGCTCTTGCCTCATGGCTTCCATCTGACACTAATTAGAGGACTCCCTGTCTGAGACCACACTCCGAATTCTCGTAATATTTCCTACACCTTTTAAGACTTTTCAGTAGCTTGCACTGTTCAGAAGAGTAGCTTGACCCAAAAATGATGGATGGTAAGGACCACTAAACTTGAAGCTTGCAATGAGCTGTTTACTGGACTACAAGGCCAAGGGTTAGAATTCATTCAACAGATGCAATGTGGGTGCATTTTGGAGTATAAGACAATCTCATGTCCACACTTGACATTCCTCACTGTGACCCATCTGTGTACTTGATAACCTGGTAGGTTACACCTGGAATCCATGTGTGTAACATTCTGAATGAACACCTGTGTTCTTGAATTCCCCACCTTGTTGAAATATCACCAAAGAAGAAAGTCATATTTTGCTTTTGTATTTTTTTTGTCAAATCCATCCTTTTCCTGCACCCATATTTTTAAAAAAGTCACAAACTTCCTACAGATTTCTCAAAAACTTTTAGGGTGGAGAGAAGTAAAGTACACAGGGATGGGTTAGACAGCAAAGGAGACCGAGGATATTTTGTTCCTTGATAACTTATGGTGTGCTGCTGTTAGGATAATTACAGCTGTGATTGGAAATGCTTCATTAACTCCCATTAACTAGCTTGAGAAATGGAAGTATATATGAAATTTGTCTCTGTGTTATATCTTTATAGGATAAATACACAGATTTTTTCATCATTCACAATAATTGAGAAACAAGGTGTTCTTTTTATAAGCTTAATCTGAGCAACTGTTTAGTTCAACGTTGGGTATTGCAAAACTTTCCTAGGCTGTATTGGAATATTTTCATCTAATAGGACATATAATGAACACATTCGATGTTTTTAATATTTGGAAAATCTTTAGTGAATCATTTGAAGCAACATTTCCATGACATTATATCTGCACATAAAGAAATTATAAGGGGTATTGAATTAATATCTAAAACATACTCTTTTTCATTTGTTGGTTGGTTTTATCAAGTCCAAGATATGGGTGTTTTTTTTTTTTTTTTGGTTGCCCAGCCCTTTCCCTAGAAGTTAACTGAAAATCTCTTTTCCTTTCTGCTTATCTACATTTTAACCTATATTTTCTTTTACTGAGAGTTCTTTCAGCTTTGAATTCTGATTGTTTTTCCATGGTACTTGATTTCAAGTGCTATATTTGTTGGTTGGTAAGAGATTACTGAATTTTCTCCACATTGCACGATGCAGATTACAACAACACAGTTGGTCAGGAGGGCCCCACCCCATAACAAATGACCAGGGCTCCAATTTCTGGGGCCCAGGGCTGCCAAGGTAGATGGTTATGGAGTTGCCCAGGTTAGGTGCACTGTTCTGGGAGCCCAGTGGAGAAACTTGCTCAGTGAATGAGCACGCCCCAGAAGTGTGGCAGTGCAGCGGTGCACCTCTGGTTCTGCACGTGTCATTGCAGGAAGTTCTACAACTTGAGAGACAGATGGGAGGACAGCTCCTAGAGGACCCCAAGGCTCTTCATTTTAAAGGCAGCACCCACAACCTGCGCCTGTCAATTCATGACATCGCCCATTCACTCTGGAAGAGCAAACTGCTGGCTAAGTATCAGGTAAGGTTCCCGGCTTTCCTCAAGTCTTGGTGGTGACTCCAGTTATATACACAGACGAAATCCCCTTTCTTGAAATCATTCCTGTACTTGTTGGTCCAGGATAGCCTGAGGTTACTTGGGACTTTGGAAAAATACCAGATAGGCATATTTGAAGGGATGCTTTTTAAAAAATTCTCCCTTATGTGATGGGCATTTCGCCTAGCGGTTAAGTTGTCTGGGAAGACACCCATATCTGAGTACCTGGGTTTGATAACCAGCTCTTCCCCTGACACCAGCTTCCTGCCAAGGCAGACCCCGTGAGGGCTCATGTAATTGGGTTGTTGCCACCCACGTGGGAGACCTGGGTTGAGTTCCCGATTCCTGGTTCCTCAGCCCGGCCCCTGGTAAGGAATTTAGAGAGTGAGCCAGCAGATGGCAGATCTCTCCCTGCCTCTCTGCCTCTTAAGTGAATAAGTAAAAACAATTTTTCAAATAACTGTGCTACCACTGTTTCATTTTTTAGTAAATAAAAGATTCCAAGTTTGTCATTTCAATTAATTTTCATAGTAAATGTTCACACTGAATTGATTTTTTTTAAAAAAATATTTATTTACTTGAGATGCAGAGTTACAGATGAGATAGAGAAAGGTCTTTCATCCACTGGTTTATTCCCCAAATGGCCACACAGCCAGAGCTGAGCCAATCCAAAGCCAGGTACTTCTTCCTAGTTTCCCATGCGGGTGCAGGGGCCCCAAGCACTTGGGCCATCCTCTACTGCTTTCCCCGGCCACAGCAGAGAGCTGGATCTGAAGTGGAACAGCCAGGACTGGAACCAGCACATAATGGGGTGGCGGCCTTATCCAGTATGCCACAGCCATAGCACTGGTCCCTGAATTGACTTTTTTTAAAAAAGTGAATTACAATTACTTGCAAAAGAGACATTATTGGCCGGCGCCGTGGCTCACTAGGCTAATCTTCCGCCTTGTGGCGCCGGCACACTGGGTTCTAGTGCTGGTCGGGGCGCCGGATTCTGTCCCTGTTGCCCCTCTTCCAGGCCAGCTCTCTGCTGTGGCCAGGGAGTGCACTGGAGGATGGCCCAAGTGCTTGGGCCCTGCACCCCATGGGAGACCAGGATAAGTACCTGGCTCCTGCAATCGGATCAGCGTGGTGTGCTGGCCGCAGTGCGCCGGCTGCAGCGGCCATTGGAGGGTGAACCAACGGCAAAGGAAGACCTTTCTCTCTGTCTCTCTCTCTCACTGTCCACTCTGCCTGTCAAAAAAAGAGAGACATTATTACCTCATGTCACACAAATTAGGTTTTGGCCTTTATATCAAAAACTTAAAAGGAATTCCAATTTGGGAACTGAAATAGCATATAAAATTAAAACCCAGCCAGGGCTGTATTAAATAGCAAGCATAAAAATACTGGTCCCAAGCGTCATTGTATGTACCTGTAGGAAAATGACAGGACTGGCCAGTGCCTTTCACTCCTCCTCCCCCCACCCCCCACCCCCGGAGACTATTTTGATGGGATTGCCAGCCTCTCCCCCAGCCCTAGGAGGGGCACATACAAATGTAACCCAAAGCTCAGCACTGCAGCTCCCTTGGTTGCTCTCTTCTGATGTGAGTTAGTGAACATGCTAGGAGGACTGAAAGGAAGACTTTGCAACTCCATCCTACTCCCCAAGGTCAAGCACACTTGCACTTGAATTAAGGGATGCAACCCCTCAGTGGGTTAACAAGGGTGAGCTCTGGCGGCCCGGCACGTCAGATTCTGCTATGTTGCTCAGCACGTGATGGAGACAGTGGACTCCTCTCTCTCCCACTGTATCCTTCCCTTTAATTCAGCTGCCTTGATACCATAACGGAAACTACTACTTGCGGGAATGTTGATAATGTGGTATTCCTTACAGCTAACCCTAGCCCAGTGCTTGCCTGCTGTCAACCCTCCTGTGCATTTTTCTCTCTGAACCCCAGGCCTAGGAATTAGGTGCTCTTCTGCTTATTCTTTTGCAGATGAAGAAACTCAGGCCTGAGGAAGCTCGTTAGCTTGTCCCAGCTATCACTAAGCGCCAGGGGAGGCTGCTCTGGTTGGACTGGGTTTGGCTCCAGAGCCTCTGCCCTTTGCCTCCAAGGCCCCTGCTTTTCATGCCTCAGCCTTTTCTTTCCCGTATTGAACAGACTCTTGGATGTGCTCAGTAAGGTGGGCTACACTTTTCAGAAAATGAAAGTCTGTTAGAGGCTTGGCAGCTTTTAGGCCAAGGGCTTTCTTGTGGCAACTAATCGAGTCCTCCTTCGCAGCCATGGTGAGGTTTGGCTCCCTGTGTCCTGCACAGGGAGAGGACAGAGGAATGAAAGGAAGTGGCCTCCCTGCCTGGTCCTTTAGACTTTGCTTTCTCTAGAATGGCCCAGCAGGGATTCCTTTTAATGAGCCATTGAGCACTGAGCAATAAGGGACCTGTGTGTCCGCTGGTCTTTGCACTTTTCTAAACCTCTTTTTTAAAAAAAAAATTCATTGACAAAGGCTCTCTTTGCAAATGGGAGACTTGTGGCAGACAAGTGAGGTAGGAGCATGCTGGAGGCTGCATCCCTGGGTACAAATCTCAGCTCTGCTGCTTTTTGGCTGTGTGGCTTTGGGAGAGTTAGTGAACCTCTCTGGATCTTTTTTTTTTTTTTTCTTACAAGCAGTGAGTGACTTGGAGCCTGTCCCTCAGGCTGCTATGAGGAATAAAGAAGGTAGTACATGTGATGCTGTGTGGCCCTCCCTCATGGCTAAAACTTTTGTATCCTTTAGGAGATTCCTTTTTATCATATCTGGAGTGGGTCTCAAAGAAACCTCCACTGCACCTTCACTCTGGAAAGATTCAGCCTGAACACAGTGGAGCTGGTTTGCAAGCTCTGTGTGCGGCAAGTGGAAGGAGAGGGACAGATCTTCCAGCTCAACTGCACCGTGTCAGAGGTAAGACGTGCGAGTTTGCTTGACACCAGATGCAGAGGGCTGTGGGCATGGGGCAGTGGTTAAACCAGCTCTTGGCAGGTGCACATCCCATATTGGAGTGCCTGGTTCAAGCCCCAGCTTCCTGCTAATGGAGACCCTAGGTGGCAGCAGGTGGTAGCTTAAGTACTGGGGTCCATGCCACCCAGACTGAGGCCAAGCCTACTCTTGGTAGTGGTGGGGCATCTGGTGAGTGAACCAGTGGAAGGAAGACCTGTCTCCATCGGTCTCTCTGTTTCTGTCTCTCCTGCCTATCAAACAACATGAAGATAACTTTGTAAAAATTTTCAAAGAGAAATCCGGGGAGAGAGTGACTCTCAAGAGGAAAGGGACAGCAAAAGGGTATCTTTCTATAAGTCATACAAAAAGTCTTCTTATGAATCACAACTTGTAAAAGCTATCTGAATGTCAAGTGTGAGGTTTAATTTCAGTGGCGTGACCTAACTTTCCCCCAGGCAGCCCCTACTCCTCCATGCAGCCCCTGCCCTTGCTGCTGCTTTCCCAGGGGCCTTGCTTGCTTTTGTCTTATCATTTGCTGCTGAGTGGGGTGGAGGAGGAGAGAAGCACCCCCCCCCCCCAATATCTTTACTTTTCTCTTCTTTTTGCTCCATCTTGAAAGGAGACATCTCCTGTTCTCCTTTCTCTCTCATGCATCATTTCCCAAATAGCACAGATGTGTATTCCCCCACAGTGGAGAAGTGGTCCAGAAATAGAAGTAAAACCTACAGAGGTGTCCTCTAGGGGCCATCATGTTGGCCTTTCTTGGCTGTGATCGTTGTACCCTTTAGCCGGCAACTGTTACCTGTGCATGTTGCAGAAATAACAGAGGTCATAGGGCTGGTGTTGGGGTGCACCAGGTTAAGCTACCTCCTGGGATGACTGCACCCCGAATGAGAGAGCTGGTTCCAGCCCCTGCTCCTCGGTTTTCCGATTTAGCTCCCTTGGAGGCAGCAGAGGCTGGCCCAACTACTTGAGCTCCTGCCACCCATGGGGGAGGCCCAGATGGAGTTCCTGGCTTTTGCGTGGCCCAGCCTTTAAATGAGGCATTTGGAGGAGGGAACCAATGGATTTGAAACACCCTCCTCTTGCTCTGCCTTTCAAGCAGATTTCTAAACACACATTTTAAGAAAGCAGAAAACCATCATGACTATTTAAAACCTTTTCTGTGCAGAAAGCAGGTGCCCACAACCTCGCATGTTCCCTCGGAGCCACGGCTGGGTAGCCCTGCCAGTGGAGGAGCAGGGAGGGAGAAGCAGCCTCCTGGGGCTATGCTTCGTGCTGCTGGCCAGCCAGAGAGGCCAGAATTGTAACCTCTCTGAAGCCGGCTTAGGACTGAAAACCCTCCCTCACCAGCATGCGAGAGGAAGACGGTGTCCCCGCCTGGCTGGCCCGCCTCATGCGTGTGCAGCACAGCCCGGCAGGGAAGCAGGCAGCCCCACTGCTCGCTGCCTTCATTTCCCACAGCCTGCGAGGTGCACGCAGCCTCTCCTCCTGTACTTCCAGGAGACTTTTGACTCCTAAACAACTTTAGTCACAGACGCCGGTGACATTCAGAAGGAACGATCTTGGTGTCAGGGTGCCATGGCAACCGCCCAGCCTTGCTATCTCCCTGGTGCACTGCGCCCCCCCCCCAACCTCCTGCTGGCTCCGGAGGGTGTGTTCACTTTCCAAGCCCAGCAGGTCTGCAAAGTTCAATAAGAGCCCAGCCCCAGGGACAACAAAGGCTGTGGGATTTGGCAGGGGGGCCACAGGGCCTGGAGCTTTGAAGCCGGCTTTTTGGTCAGCGTGAGCATGGGCTGTGTGCTGAAAAGGTGGTTTCAGATGTGGCCACAAATGAAAGACAGCTGTTCAGGGCTCTCTCCCTCCAGCCTCCTCGCAGAGAAAGCACCGTGTGATCACAGCTGAAGAACTTTCTTGTGCCAGCATCCAGGAAAGACGACTTCTTTTGCACGTGGTGGCAGTCGGCTCAGAGAGCAGCCGTCGGCATTCGCCCCTGTGTGACAGACAAGCACATTTAACTGACCGGCATGGAGAGGACTTTGGGGATTATGGGGGCACTCTGCTACTTTTACTTCTGGGTCGCTGCATGCCACCACTGTGGCTAGCATTTGAAAACGGGTGCTGCTCTCTGTGTGGATAAACAATGGCCTCTGAGACCCCATCCTCCTGAAAACCTGGGAGAGGGGGCAGGGTGTGACTGACAAACCCATCCACAAGGCCACAAGGCATGAAGGGGCTCTGTTTTGGGGTCTCAGGGCAGGGCGGCAGGTGGGCTGGGCTTCCCCTCCCAAGCCTGAGCACAACTGTGCTTCCCAGTAGTCCCTGCGGAAGGCACGAAGCCCTTGGCCACCCTCATCAGCCCGAGGACCCGTTGCCCGCCCCAGAGACCAGACTGTGCAGACACACACTGTGATCACTTCAAGGGCCAACGACTCCTCTCTGGTTCCTTTAGAAGCCTCTAATTTCACAGAGATGAATTTACGTATGGAAATGTCTAGAAGGCTAGAAGTATTGCCATGAATGAAAGTCAAAATGTACACAATGGTAACACATTTTGCTGTTTTTAGACAGATGTTGGTTGAGTCATAACCAGAAAGCTACCCATCACCACCAAAAGAAAAAACAGTGATGAGAAGGCAACTGATGGCTTTTTCAGGCTTCCGGTGCAGTTTTTGCTGTAGACAAAGATCCATTATAGGAAAGCCCTAAGTGTACAGTTCTGTAAGAACACCAACAAACGCTTATCCTATCTTGCCTCAGCTTCTACATGTGTAAAGAGATATAAAAATGTATTAAATCATGGGCCTGTTGTGAAGATTGTGTGGCTGTTAGGAACTGTTGTGAACAGAGCTTGGCTGACAGCACACACACTATTACTATTGTCAGCAGTGTCACTATGGTAGCAGGTGCCTGTGTGACCTCTGCCACTCTGAGCTGCAGGGTCTGTCATCACCTTAAGCTTCAGAGGTCCTCTGAATCGAAATAAACCAAAGGCTGAACCTAGTCCCTATATAAACAGTAGGTCATTCAAAGTAAATATAGCCAAAGAGAAATGGGCTCTTGGAAGAAGGAAGATGGTCTCTCTCTCCAAGTAGGGCTGTCACACTATTGCTGTAGCTCATGGTTTTGAACCATGGAAAAGGTACAGCTTAAGGGGCATTTTCAGCCACCTAATTATAATAGATTTTCAGGCAATAACAATTATTGTAATTGTGTACATTTGCTAGAACTTATAACCTCTACTAGCTAGTGATGTGTAGCAGTTTGACGCACACAAGAACTGTATTAACGTACATAGCTAACATCACTCTGCTATAGCCATTCCCTCTGTACGCTTTGTTTTCCATAATCTGTTCATAATGACCACTGGGAGAATCTAGCTGCTTTCTTCTTTTTTGTAAGGACTGTAGGAAGACTCAGAATATGAAAGTAGAGGGATGCTTCTCCTGTGGAGTCCTCAAAATGTGTGCCATCACCGTAACAGCTGCGTGGTTAACGCTGACAAATCGTATATTTCCTAAGGCAGATGGTACCAACATCATAAACAATTATTGTAATAAGCATTCTGTGACAGTAAACTCGACTTTTACCTGCAAGTCAAGGAAGAAGTAACAGCAATTGAAATTACTAGATGTAAACCTCAATGTAAATGTAGATACATATTTTTTCTTTTACCTCCAAAGCTACTGTCATCCCCCTGAAAAGAGAGACAAGAAATGACACCCTACTGAGGTTACTTCATCTACACAGAAATAGAGTAGCCTGGGTGGGAGCACTCGGGTCTTTCATGTCCACATGAAATGGGGATGGTTCTTTATGCACCAAGGAAAAGAGGCCAACATGAAGGAGTGAGCAGACCTGCCTGAGATCCTGCCTATCTTTAACTGGCCTTTCCCTCGAGGATGTAATAGGGAGAGGCATCAAACCCTTCATCGCACTGGACTCTGGGGGTGGGCTGCCATCGGGAACTGGCCTTGTCCTCTTTCTGTCCTAGAAAAGCATCGTTTCTGTAATTTCAACAAAACTTGACTAGCTGCCGTGTGCAGGGTACAGTGCTGAGTACCACAGGGGTTCTGAGAATGACAAAAACACTCTCACCTCTAAGCAATCTGAGAACTCAAAGTCACAAAAAATACAACCACTTGTGCACTGGGCAAAAGGGCTGGGAACCTGCTCCTGGAGGCCTCGAGATGCATGCCTTTGGTGTAGTGCTCAAGGGCGCATCAGAGCACTTGTGTGTGGGGCTGGGCTTTGGGGGTTTTTCCAACACAGGTCAAAAGAGAGGGGAGACCAACTGTCAGGGGCGCAGCCTCAGCAGTGACACTGGACACAGGGAGTGGTCCAGCCTGAGGATGACTCGCCAAGGATGGGGCAATGTGGGGGCAGGTGTAGGGCCACATTCTGATTGGCAAGTGGTGGAAGCAGCTGTCTATCAGGCCCCTGCTCCATGGCAGGCCTGGGCCCTGTGTTTCACATGCATCAGCCTTGTGGCCCCATACCAGCCAGCAAGGCAGGTCAGGCTGTACAAATGTTCTTCACTGCTTAAATAACAGTTGGAACTACCCGAGGGAGAAAGGGCATTTAAGGTTTGGTAATGAAGAAATCAGAGAAAGAGATGGTTGTGTACACCAACGCACCACTGTAGGGATAGCCTGGCAGACATGCTGGATGGACCACAGGTGAGCAGTGGGGAGTGACTGTGGCCAACAGTAAGAAGAATCTCTGGGACCTTAGGGTTCAGACATGTGGACAGGTAAATTCATGGATAAATACTGGCGTGTACCCTCAGGTTACTGTCCCTAGAGATTTCCATCTTTCGCTAGCTTTCTCTCTCTACCCCCCACCCCCACCCCACGCCTGTTGGGAGAGCTCTGGGCCTGATAGGGAAACAGCTGCGGTGGGATGCTCATCCAGGGACTCCAGCTCCTATTTATGGCTTCTGTGTTTTGCACATCAGTCTTTGAACTCGTGGTGTGTGCTAGTGCCAACACAAAGGAGCCACTGCAGTCCACAGGGTCTCAGTTTGCCAAGCTTTGGGTTTTTGAGGCTAAATACTATGATTAAACCCATACTACTGTGTGTATTATGGCTAAAAAAATGAAGAACAAATTAGTTTTTCTGTAAAATGCTCTTCAAGAACCCAGATGGGCTCTCTTCTGTGGGGTTACTCAATCCCACAAGGGAGCACTGGCTGTTCATCCTGGAATGTGGAACACATGGCTAGAACACGGCTACCACACATACACACAGGCACCCCCCACCAAGGATCAGCATCCCCACTGCTGTAGAGGCCACTGCAGCAGGGCGGGGCAGGGTCTGGGGATGTGCTGGGTGATGGTGACACTGATGGAGCTGAGCACTCAGACATCAGAGACTTCCTGACGGCAGGAACTGTGTATGACTACTTTATCCTGCACCAACTAATTATGCACACCAAGGAGTTACCTGCCTTCAGAAGCGGGAGAAATGACATTTAAAGTAGATTAACTAGATTCTCTTTTATTGCTGTAATAGTTCCCAGGCAACATTTGCTTTTGCTTTTCCAACCAGGAGAAGTGATCAGAAAATGATTAGAGTTTCTCCTACAGAGAAAATTCAGAGTTTGCCTTTGTGCTGTTTTATGAGCTGAAACTATTTTAAGAACCACTTTATGGTTTTTGCTAATAAAAATTAGATTTAAAAAAAATACGGTCGTATAGCCATTGGACAATGCCATTACCTGTTTGCCCTAAGGTGATATGCTGTGTTTACCGAATTCTTTAAAAAAATTAGTTTTAATTTGGTATCATTTAGTTCCGTTCCATTTCATTCAACAAAAGCAGAAAGAACTAAGCCATCTTTGGCAGGGTTTCCAGGTTATGGGGGCATTCCCTTAGGTCAGTCTCTGGAAGCTTTCTCAGCTTTCTAATCTCAGATCTGTTCACTCTCAGAGAACTGCCCTTGTGAACACTTTTCCCCTCCTGAAATCTAAACCTTGGGAGCACGGATACTCCTTATCTTCCTCTCTCATCCTGAAGAAACCCATCAGAAATGCTGTTATGTAATCACACCAGAACTTTCCATCTAGCCCAGGCCAGGCAAAGTTAGCTCTGTGTACCTCTTTCTTGCAACCAGGTTACACAGCACGACACCACAGCTGTGGGGCCAGGAAGAAACCATTCTCCCCAAGGAGAATAACAGCATTCATTCTCTTCTTATCACTCAAAGCAAGGCATTATGTTGTTTGGTTCAATAGGGACTGGTGTTGTCTTCAGAAATAATGCTGTGTTGTTCCTGGCCCTTATACAGGAACCTACAGGCATGGATTTGCCACTGCTGGACCCTGCGAGTACCATCACCACCGTCACGGGGCCGAGCGCCTTCAGCATTCCTCTCCCGATCCGGCAGAAGCTTTGTAGCAGCCTGGATGCCCCACAGACTAGAGGCCATGACTGGCGGATGCTGGCCCATAAGCTAAACTTGGACAGGTGGGTATAGCAAGGCTCCAGCACTACTTTCTGCATTAGATAGGATTTGCCAGGACTGACAACTGGTAGACCTAGGGCAGCATTCATTTCTTTCCATTTGTACATCTGTTTACTTTCTCAGTCTACAACCACAGCTTAATCACCTTCTTTGTCCCATATCTTGCAAACAAGATGCTATGACATTTCTAAGCATCCAGTTTTGTGATCCACTCTGCCAAGTTGATGGTCTCAGTCTGCCCTAAACATTGAAGGATGTGGCATGACCTGTCCCAGATCATCAGAGCCTGGGCTACAAAGAAAACCTAAGTCTTTTTGAGTCCCATTTAGGTTAAGACACACAGACATCTTATGTCTTAAATTATCTTAGTTTTGAGGTTAACAGAGTTAAACATCACATTTCTCATCTGGGGCTGATCGAAGTCAGTCTGGGCCAGTTATTTAGGACAACCCACTGTAAACCACAGTGGGACTTAGGCTACCCTGAGACAGATGGAGAGACAGGAAGGCTTAGCCCCATAAAAACACGAGAGAAAACAGATCCGTAAATCACGCCATTCAGCACATTTTCCCATTCCCCACTGCAGGTACTTGAATTACTTTGCCACCAAATCAAGCCCAACTGGTGTAATCCTGGATCTTTGGGAAGCACAGAACTTCCCGGATGGAAACCTGAGCATGCTGGCAGCTGTCTTGGAAGAAATGGGACGACACGAAACGGTAGTGTCGTTAGCAGCTGAAGGGCAGTACTGACCACACGGAAGCAGGAAATGGATGGAGACACACAGGGAGTCTGTGGCCCCCCCAGGGGTGTCACCGCGGAGAAGGACATTGGAGACTAGACCCAGTGAGCTTCACCGGCCCATCACAGCAGGAGAGAGAAGAAACACAGATACAACTTCCAATACACATGCCCACTTTACCTGGACAGCACTGCCGGAGTTAAGAAAAATTGTGTAAATGTGTACCTTGAATTTAGAAACCAACCTAATTTTCCTCTTAGTTGGGCTGTATGCTGTATGGTACAGGATCTTACAGTTTCCTAGGAAACGCTTTTTATTGCTATCCAGATATATGGATAAACTTTCTTAACAAACCCAATTTCTACAAACGTTGTTTACATCCACTTGGACAGGGATGCAGACACTGTCCATGGCTCGTTCTATTTTTGTTCAAATCATTTGAAGTTGAAGCTGTGGACGGTTTGTTGTGTCTACTTCAGATTAGTAATTTACAGAGAAATCACAGACTTTTGCTACACATTGTGTACATCAAGTGTCTCAGATAATCCTCCATCAGTGTTCTGTTTCTAGAACTTGTAGAACCAGTGTTACTGTTTGTATCAGGGAAGTGGAGACTCTAAGTGTCAGGGAGAAGGGACCGAGACTCCTTGCTCCTTGCAGGAGAGACTTACCTGGTGCCCTCTGAGGATAAAGCTGTAGCATTGCAGGGAAGATAGTGATTCATGTCCAACCACAAACACACGCGTTTCTCCACACCATGTATGTCATATGCAATTTGAAGTCGCGTTTGTTTTTTAAAAAGGTATCATTATTAGTACCCTTACTATTATTATTGATGTATATTTACAAGTATTCTAGCAAAAGGGTTTTCTTTTAACTTCTGTTTTCGTTAGCAGTACTGTTAGTATTTGGGTATTGACTAGACTTGCCCCCCCCCCCATCTCACATAACAGAGTGGGTGTACTCACCTGTTAACAGGCATTGCTTCCTTGACCTTTGACCTTTCTTCTACCAGTCTGCCCTGGAAAGATAGAAAATGATTACTGGCTTTCTCCATCTTTTCTTTAAGCTCACTCAGTCAGGCTCTTTCCCCTCTGGGTCTTACCATGAGAAGCGTAATCAATGATGTATGGTTCTGTGGCCCCATGTTGGCTGCCCCCATGGTGCCCTGTTTACCTTATGGGCAGTGTGGTAGGAGGACCAATTTCCAAACTGGAAATCAGGAAACTAGTTCTTGTTCTGGATTTTTTGTACTGCTTAGCTCTGCTGCTTTGAGAGCATTTAAACCTCGCTGGACTTCAACTTCCATAATAGCTTGTAAAAAGGTTGGTAGGCACATGCCATCTCAAGGTTCTAGGATGCTGGTCTTCCACTGTGCTGCCTCCAGTCTCACACAGTGTCTGCATACCACATGGGACTCTGATTTAAGTAATTAGCTAGTCTTTTCTCCAGGCTACATTATGCCTTTCAAATAGTTGTGATGTGGAAGATAATCACACTAACCAGCTACATACTTATTTGACTCAAGTCTCTTGTTTGTTTCACTGCATTCTGTAGTTCACTAGGAGATGGATCCCTTTCTTCTCATCGTCTTGTCCTCTCTGGGGACTCCTCGCATTCATGACTAGTTATACACTGTTTTACTGTTGTCTCAGTTTCTTAATACCAACACAAGTTTATCTGCAAATAGGGAATTGGTGCATTTTTTTCTCTCTCCCCCTAATCTTTGCTTTCATGATAGCAGCATACACAAAGGTTGTTTCATTAGCCCTTTTATACTACCAAATGTTAGTCAACAGACTTTGTGTCAACTATGACATTTCCTTGGGGCCATCACAGGCTGTTTGTTTTAACACAGGGACTCAATTCATTCAGCAGTTGGCGAATGAAGAGTCAACAGCCCAGTAACCAAACCAAGACTACACAAGCATGCATGTGTATGAATCAAAACCTCCAATAAACATGACTGTGGTTCACTTTTGGCCTGGAGGTACCCATGTTGCTGACTGGATCTGAACAGAAATTACTTATATGTTTTCTCCGATCTTTGCAAATGGATTTCTTCTTTCTTTTGGTGATTTCTTAGTATTCTCAAGAGTCCTTCGGCCTTCTCATGGAGGGGGGAACTGTTGCTGTCTTTCTTTCACGCTTTTCACTTCTGGCTTAGACATGTATTCTATAGTCGTGTCTCAGGACATCCCCTGGCGTATTTCTATTTACAAAAATATTTGTCACTCTTATTGTGGAGGGGAGAGACTGCATTTATAAGTTCAATGGATAATGTTTGCACCAATGAGAAAAACTGTGCTCTAAATTTTCAAATTTTAAAGAAATATTTAAAAATCAGGAGAGGGGGAAGAGAGCTAATGTCCATTGCTATATCTTAAAAATAAATGTAATTTGGCAAGATTATTCATCAGTGCTGGGATTGCAGAATCAACTATGGAAACTGGGAACTGGATACTCAAAAGGAACCCCTATTTCTATTAAAACATTGAGGAAGCAAATTGGCAGCTATCCAGATGAATCAATTTCAACACTTTTACTGAAAACTTTGATTTAAAAAAAGTCACCAACACCGAAACAGTGAGCATAACAGGAACTGCATTATGGGAGCTACAGAGGGCCCTCGGGGTTTGCTGCAGGCGCTTGTTTTCTCATTCGGCCTCCCACCACCAGGAAAGGGAAAAGTGGTAGATTCTTCGTGAGGGTCTCATAGAACTCTGTTATGTTTCCCACCAAGTGAACGTCAATTTCCATATGTACAACACAGCATTTATGTCAAATAATTTTCGCTACAAATTCTGAGTTCCTTCTCCTTTGGAGTAAAGTCATAGCTGTGAGAGTGTTCTAGAACCTTAGAGAGTTCAGATGCAAGAGTTCATTTCACAGGGAGTCAGTTCATCAACCATTCTATGTTATATGTTCTACTTCAACACAGCTTGAAAAGAAAGCCAGGTTTTTTTCTAACGGGAAAAAACTATAATTTGTGAATGGAGCCACCTAGTGGTGGCCAACACAATCACCCCTGAGTTTCATACAAAACTCACTAAAAGTTTGACAAGTAAATGTGGGAAATTTTCACTTCAAATATATGATTTTCTTATTCTCACATTTGTTTCACTTAAATCATCTCAAAATTACAGTATGAGCTGATTGTAGCGTGAATTCGTTCATACAAATCTTTAGCTGTTTTTTTGTAATGAAGATATAAATTCTGTATGTCTTTGGAGAGCTGTCATTTTCAACATTTATAATTTTCATTGGGGTTTGTATATTTTAAATCTCCTTGCTTTTGGTCCCCTACTATTAATCTTTGGAAATGTCAGAAGTATGCACTTAGAAAGCGGTCCTACTTCTAAGGAAGAGAAAATGGTCACTCATAGTTAAGGAGAAGAAAGAAGTATTTATTCTTCTGATTTTGATCATCTAAAGACTAGGGTTTCATCCTGTCGCATTCTTTGCTTGCCACACTTGTTCAAGCTTCCTTCAAGTGGTCTGGAAGGAGCAGCTGAATTCAGGATTGACCACTGGGCACATGGTAGTGACAACACATAACACCGCACAGCCTTTTCATAAACACCACCTTCCAATGCGGATACTCACGTGTATCACCAGAAAATCTCCATCTTCCCAGGGCAAGGTGTGCAATTAACCTGCAGAGTCTTTAGTCATTTTCATATATGCTATTTACTTTATAGATTTTAATCTCTGAACTACCAAACACCCCATTCAGCCATTAGGGAAAATTCATGGAGACTGAGTTGAGGACACTCTGAACAAACTACACATGTGGTAACTTTTTAAAAGGCATTTCTCCTATAAATAAGAGATAAACATAAACACCCAAGGGTAAGATCAGGACTTTTAAGGATCTGGTCGTACGTGTCCATCTGTGTGTCCTGCTCAGGAACCCAGGAGCTGTGTTCTTGGTCCACTTACTCCTCTTAAGCAATGAATGAAGGGAGCCACTAAGATGATCACTGTTTCCCCAGGATTCCCAGGCATTTGCCTCTGTAAGATATGTCCCTATGGGGCCAATCAAATGGAAAATCATATAAAAAGACCTGTAAGAGAGTGTAAAGAAGGGAGCATACTTACTTTTTTCAGTCTCCAAGTTGAATGTGAATTTCAGGTTTGCAAGCAAATGTTCTGGACAAGTCATCAGTTTCAAATGGAGACCTCCATGCTGTCTAAGGCCAGTGAGAGAGAGGAGGGTCATGGGAACATGGCTCATAAAGGAATGGGATTTTCCTATCTTCTTGGCAAACAGAGCAGCTTTTGTGAATCAGAACATCATTGCTCAAAACCAACTATTTGTAAAGACAATGGTCAATGAGCATTAGATTTTATAGATCCAATAAAGATGAATATTTTTTATTATCTCAAGGTAACAAAACATTTTTACCCTTCCAGTGCCTCATAGGACCAACTATTGTATTTTGCTTTTGCTTTGTATTATTTTTATATTTTTTAACCTTACTGAGCTAATGTTGACTGAAATCCTTAGAACGTTGCCTCTGTGCAATGAAGTACTGTTTCTCTACCCTAAGAAATCTATTTGTATAATCTCTGGCTGTAATGATCACTTTGAAAGATTTCCCTTGCATCTCTATGATTTTTTAGTGGAATAGGGAGACTTAGAATACTGTAACCAATGTTAAAAATTTAAGCCTGTGTCCATACAGGCCAGTTAAGCCAAAAGAAGTCATAAATATTCCCATAATTGTGTCTTGGAAGCCTAATTTGAAAAGTGGGGAGATGGCCTTTGCATGTCCCTGGGTGGGTTTTCTCTATAGGCTAACAAAGAACTCCCCAATCCTTTAGTCTATCAGCCTTATGGCTGCTTCCATTTTCAGAAATCCTCCTTCAACAGTCTGTCTTCAGAAGAGTTCATGCTCCCAGCTTTTCCAGTGTGCTTGTCACCTCCCTAGACTGATTTATGCTGAGATATTAATAGGTTCATTCAACCAAATGTAATGGCTGTCTTAGATCTATTGTAGCATGGTCACAAGGCAGCACCAGGACAAACCAACAGGTACTCCACAAATGTGCTAGCACACAAATCCAAGCAGTTATAGAGACTAGTCCCCAGCCCAGTGTATACTCAGATTCCTGCATACTAGAGGCATCTGTCTAGAGATCTTTTAGAATCCCAAGTTGGGAATCTCTGCAGAATATCATGAGAGTCATGGCTTAGTACTTGTCAAGCAAAAAATAATGATTCTCTGAGATACAGTCAGTTGCCCACCAGCTATATTATTTGCTACTGTACACCACCAGTCTTTCAAAATACCACATTAAATTTGTGCTTCAGCAAAATAATAAATTCTAAGTCCTAACACTTCAGGGTTCCTGATAAGTCAAAATCCTGTGTCATCCTTAAGTTCCAAAGGTCTACTGGATAAGGCACTCTTAGCCCTGCTGTTAAACCTGATGGCACTGATCCAACTGCCAGCACTGGTGTTTGGAATGGGAATTGTGAGCAGATTCTGCTGCATGGCAGCCTAAAGGTTGATGAGCTCTTGGCCTCTGATCCTCCGCACCACAGGGAAGCAGCAGCAGATGACCAGAGCTGTGCTCTTGATGTTAAGCCAAGACCCTTTTATAGCAGCATTTAAAAAGCAAAACCAAACCAAACCAAGAAATCTATAGCCAGGGGGAAATGTCGTTGCCCTTTTATGTTCTTAAAGTCATTAGTGGCACCTGTACATGTAGAGCTACAAATTCAGATGCAGCCTCTTCCAGACCCTGGGAAAGAAAAAAGACAGAGATCAGAACAAGTTGAGCACGTGATCTGAGCGATCTCTTCACCCTTTCACACACCCAGTCTTGACAGTGAAGCCCTCCCCCTCCAGACAGATGTGTTTGGCCCAAGTGCAGGGTATCTCATCGCTCTGTGTGTGCTTTAGATGCCGCAGTGTTGTAAGCGCTCAGTTTCATGTCGAGCTCGACCAAGCCGGTAACTTCCCTCTTTGCTTTTTCTAAGGATGACCACTGACTCCCTATCGGAGGCTGTCTCATCCACCTGCTGCCCCGCCGTGGAACTGCTCAACTGCAGAAATGTCAGATTGAAATTGTGTGCTTTGCCATCCTTTTTTTTTTTTTTTTTTTTTTTTTAAACAAAATACCACCGACCCCGGCTTTTCAGATATGGAACACTTCTGTCATTGTGGTAGAGTTCCCTTTTGCTGTATCTTCTATGCAATTCCTTTTCTAAAAAAAATAAAAATAAAAAAACCCTGGTGGCAGCAGAGTGCTCTCTAGGCATCCGCCACTGCCTTGCCGTGTGGTGGAGGTGAGGGATACAGCTCTGGGTGTGCCTCTTTTTTCTTTCCCTGGCTGCCTCTCCCAAGTTTTCCTGCAGTCCCCTTGGTTCGTATTGCCTGCATTTATTCTGTCAGCCAACATGTACAAAATGTAAGAAAGAATTTTTAAACAGGTAATAAATTATATTTATAAGCAAGAGTGAGTGCTGCCTGCCTTGTTTCTTCACAAAAAAAGTCCCCCTCCATGGTAAGTCACCCTACACTTCTTCCACAGAACAAAAACCCTGGTGTCTTGGATGGATGGGGTTCTGGGAAGGTACACCTCAAGCATCTCTGCACCCTGGAATCACCCGGGTCCTACCTCCAGGGATTTGGCTTTAACTGGTCTGGGAACAGCTTGAGCATGGAGTTTTAAAAGCTCCCAGGTGATACTAAGGGTGAGAACCAATGACTCAGAATATCCATGGCAGAATTCCCTAGCAAGCTTGTAAATAGAGTGCTAGGCCCTATACTCAGGCATTCAAGTTTTTTTTGTTTTTTTTTTTTTTTGAAAGATTTCTTTATTTGAAAGGCAGAGAGAGACAAAGAGAGAGATTGATTTTTCCATCTGCTGGTTTACTCCCTATATGGCTGCAATGGCCAGGACTGGTCTGGGCAGGACCCAGGAGCTCCATCCAGGTTACAAGGCAGGGACCCAACCACTTGGGCGATCCTCTGCTGCTTTTCCAGGCACATTAGCAGGGAGCTGGATCGGAAGTAGAGCAGCAGGGACTTGAACAGGTGCTCATAAGAGATGCTGGTGTTGCACATGGTGGCTTAACCCACTGCACCACAGCACTGGCCCCCTCAGAGATCCAATTTTAAATGAAGTTTGCAACCAGCTACAGGAATAGGACCTGAAAGGTAAGGCCAGTAACACAGCACAGAGCACACTGCACCCAAGGTGAGCATCCTCCCAGGGTGAAGCAGAAAGTAGCTTGGAAGGTAGGGAGGGAAGCAAAGTTGGCAGTCCTTCCCTCCATGAGAGAACTACCTGGAGAAGTGTTCCTAGACAGGATGTACACCTGAGCCTGTGCTGGGATCACAACAGATCATGTTCAGAGCTAAGGAAGTTACAGAAACACATAAAGTGGACCCAGGGTAAAATCAAAGGGAGAACAAAGGTCAGTGGCTGAAAGAAACTTCAAGTTAAGGGGCCAGCGCTGCAGCGCAGCAGGTTAAAGCCCAGACTGAAATGCCAGCATCCCATATGGGCGCCAGTTCAAGTCCAAGCTCCTCTACTCTAGATGCAGCTCTCCGCTAGGGTCTGGGAAAGCAGTAGAGGATGGCCTAAGTCTTTGGGCCCCTGTACCCACGTCAGAGAACCGGAAGAAGCTCCTGGCTCCCAATTTCGAATCTGCTCAGCTCCGGCCATTGCAGCCATTTGGGGAGTGAACCAGCAGATGGAGGACCTCTCTGTCTCTACCACTGTAACTCTTTAAAATAAACAAAAAATATATATCTTAAAAAAAAAGAAATTTCAAGTTAAAAAACAAACCAAGGGGTCAGTACTGCGGCATATGAGGTAAAAGCCACACCCTTCAGTGCCAGTATCCCATATGGGTGCCAGTTTGAGTCCCGGCTGCTCCACTTCCCATCCAGCTCTCTGCTGTGGCCTAGGAAAGCAGTAGAGGGTGACCCAAGTCCTTGGGCCCCTGCACCGACATGAGAGATCCAGAGGAGGCTCCTGGCTTTGGATTGGTCCAGCTCCAGCTGTGGTGGCTATTCTGGGAGTGAGCCACTGGATGGAAGACCTGTCCCTCTGCCTCTGTGTAACTCTCTGCTTTTCAAATCAATAAATCTTCAAAAAACACAAAGCAAAACAAAAGGGTACTTTACAAAGGGAACACAGAAAGCACACGGTGGGGCAGACTCAGACTGTTACCCACCCGTCGGCCACTCATATGGAGCTTCCTTCATAGCCGGGAATCCTACTGAGAAGGCTGCACTTGGGAAAGCACATGAATATTTTCAAGGTCATATTGGCAAGGGGCCTGGACTCACAGGGAGCCTGTCTCTCAGCTGAGGCCACTGGAGGGTTCTGAGAATCGGGCTCTCTCTGCATCCCTCAGTGCCAACCTAACAGGTGCCAAGCAAACAACCCTGACCCACCCCTGAGACCTGACAGCTGGATTAGTATCAGAAGCCAGGGTGACAATTACCTGGCAGAAGCAAAAGTTCATCTTATTTCGGAATGGTGACCATCGGCAACAACCAAGCTTGAACTTCTCAAATGACTAGCATCCAGGGAAGGCCCCGTTTCCCAGCTGGGGTTGACTGGTAACCTGAGTGCCTGAGTCCAGAGAAAGGACTGAATGGAACCAGCTACATACAGAAGACAGTGTAGACAAGGTGACAGGTGCCCCAGTGGCAAATCTCAGCTTGTCTCAAATGCAGAGAGCTTCGGGTCCTGTAACCTTTATGGCTGAGGGACAAGCAGTGAGCCTGTGCACCTGCTACCCACCTGGCATGGGCCGTGACAGACTCATCTCATTTGCCCCTCCTAAGAGCACCATGATGTGAGGTGTTTAGCCCGATTTTCACTCCAGGTGAGAAAAGCGATGGTTGGACACTGTGTCCTTCTGCAGGACTGAGAAAGTGGAAACAACAGAATGTGAGCCGGGTGGTTCTGAATCCCAGCACTAGGAAGCAGTTGTTCTCTTGGCACTGTCTCACACAAACCTTCTGTCCCTGCATGGACCGTGACTCAATGCAAGCCCATGCTGCGGACAGTACTCCCCAGCAAGAGTGGGTCCTGGCTCCAGACCCCGTGTCTGACAGATCCCCTCAAACCCCAGCTTCCCACTCTGCCCTCCAGGGCTGCACAATGCTTTGTCCTTTTGCTGAGGGTGGTCTACCCCCCTGGGGCTGTTTCCAGGGCAACAGCAGCAGCAGCCACATCCTTCCCCACCCTGAGTGCCCTGCATGAGGGAGCAAGGGTGAGCTCCTTCTCACACCACTCTGGAGCATGCATTACCTGTGCACCCACTCAGTCAGCCCCTAAGCCCCCAGGCCCACCAGGCCCACCAGCCTTCCCCTGGACTCTTTGGCCCTGCCTGCTGCCCTGTCCTTCTCCTGTAGCCCTGGAGAACTGTCTGACAAGCTCCACTCCTCAGCACTCCTCCCATCCCTGGGGACTTGAAGCCCAAGGCCTGGCTCTCTCTCACTGACTAGGACCTCCCACTCCTGTGATCAGCCACTCAGCCAGGCCCGGGCCTGCGACCCTCCTTTGGAACCCAGATTCTGACCACAGCCTCCCCTCAGTCACAGCTTTTGCACAATTTCACATAAGCAGGGTCCCCTGTCATTTCACCGCCTTTCTTCTGCCTTCTTAGTTACGCCTCTCTTGAATTCTTTCCCTACTTCAGCCCCATGACACCCAACCTCCTGGTAGTTCTTATTTCCTCTGACCAACAGCTGCCTAGGACTGGTAAACCCCAAGTCAATGGCAGCTGTCTACATGCCTACGTTTGGGTTGCTGCTAGCAAGACAAACATCACCAACTACACGGAAAAGTGGCGTATGAATGTGGAATCGTAGCTAACGGTACTAATTGAGTACTTACTGCATGCCTGGTGGGTGGATTATTCCATTTCATCTTCAGGACAACTCTGTGTGGTAGACAGTAATATCACATCCTCGAGAAGTCAACACGTGCCTAGTGTCACACCCTGAGGCATAAGAGGGGCCGGAGAGCAGGAGGCCAGGCTCTGGGCCACTGTGCCACACACTTAGTGTCATCACCCCTCGGCACTGCCCAAAACCACCCGACTGTGGTTCCCCAGGAAGCTGGGATTTTCCACAGCCCAACATTGACACCTCCCTCATTTCTCTGCAAACACTTCTTCCCTGCACGTCCCATTGCTCTCAGCAGATGACTGAGTTTCCAAATGACAGAGAAAATGGAAGCCATCCCAACACTTCTCTTCCCTCTGGCACAGGAAGTAGACTTCCTGCATCAGCCCTCCCACCTGATACAATGTGAGATTTTCAAAGACAAAGTAAATAAATAATAAGACAACAACAACAACAGGCACAACTGTAAGATAACAGTCTTGCTCTTTCCAAGGGGAGAATGAAACTATTTTATTTAGGGGAATGTTAAAACAAAGCCATATACAATCTGTAACAAATACAATACAATCGTTTGTTCCCTAGTCCTGAATAATTACAGTATATACAGATTCCATAAGGCACTGGTTCCCCAAGGAATACAAATGAGTCTTCTTTTGAAACAGACAACAAAACCCCTATAAATTGCCAACTTTTCTCCAAAAAAATATGGCATTTTTTTTTTGTTTCTGTTTTACAAGAGCAGTCATAATTGCTAAATTAAATCACCTCTGATGCTAACTTCTTTCATTTCCACTGCTAGGGGACTGCATTTTCTAAGGAGATACAACGACGCAACACGTTCAAGTTAAAAAAAAAAAAAGTCCTTTTCTCAGTGCCTTTGCACCCACAAAGAAGAGGCAAAAGAGACCAACAACATAAAACTTCTAATGAATATGCATGACCCGAGCAACATGAAATTCAGTCATTATTGAGTACTTGCTATACTTGACTTCACATCAATTGAAATGTGTCAAAGGATTCCCTGTAAATAAAATCTCAGCATGTTTTCTGAGAAGCTCTCTGCTTGAGGAATAAAAAAGAATGGTCACTGGGAACTTAGCGCGGTGCTTTCCAGGAGGTCAGAGGCCTGTCTCCTCACACTCAATGTTCATCCCACTTCACTTGTGATTGAACGACCTACACACTTTCATAAATAAATATTAGGTTTCATTTAGTACTTTATCATCCATAATAGTTTACTCTCTAATCCACATAATGGAGTTGCACCAGACTCCACACTGAACGTAATATTTACATATACATATATTTATATAATATATACACGCATAAACTATAAACCTGAAATCTTAGCATACAAAACTTCTCTAACATCTAATAATTTAAGATTACTCTGACAGGGAGGAGTTAGGAGAAAAAAAGCTTAGTCTTTGAAATAATCTTGAAACTATGCAATCAACTATATACTACTAGTCTCCAGGTTCTCACTTATCTGAATCAAAGACCAAACAATAAAACAAAACTCAATTCTGAACCCCTAGGAATTCAAAAAACATTCAGGATTATTGGGAGGTGAGTAGGTAGCCTTCAAGAACAATTTAGTATTACCTAAGTGGATTTTGGTATGATAAAGAGAAAAATATTTTCATAAATAAATCCCTTTCTCATTAAAAATAATTAAGTGGGTCTTTTTAAGTATCTCAGAAATAAACTTCAAAATGTTCATAGTGAGTAAATCAGGCTGGGGAATAGAGAGTAAGCTAGAGATTTTTCCCAAAGCAACCAAATGGATAATCTAGAAGCAATCTGGACACTATTTTAATTTCTCCCATTCTTCACTGGAATAAACACTTCCCTAGAAATCATCACCCTTCCCATAAAATATTCTAGGCTATCCCATGTTCAAGAACTTACCAGAAAGAAAGCATGATTTCTGACTAAGAGGCTAATTCCAATCTCAAATTTAGGGTGATCCCAAGAAACACGAATGCATACCGGTTAACTGCATCCATGTTTACTCCTTTGATTAAAGATGATCTGATTACACACAGGCAGATTGTCTGCAGGGCTCAGATGATTATCACACCCACCTTAACCACACATTCCTTCTAAGTTATCACAAAGAATATAATCAGACACGAGAAAGGAATCTTTACATTGTGCATCGAGGTTATTTTAATATCCATGAAAGCAGCACTCTGATTAACACAGTATTTGGAAGCAACTGTTTTTACTCCTAAAGAAAAAAGAAAAAGCAGGAAATTTCTTGTCAAATTAAAGGAGTAATAAATTCTTGGTTACAAAGAAACTGTGGGTGAGATGCCTTGGGAAGTGAGTGCAGAATGTAGGATGTGTGCTTCTCCTAGGATTCTCCCAAACTGGAAGCACTCAGCGCCCTAGGATGTTTTCTGGATGATCAAGTCACCAGCTGCAAGCCACTTCACAAGTGAGGAAAATGTTTCCTCATTTCTCATGCACCTGTCAAATGTTTTAAAAGTCTCCATCTTTCAGTCACCCAGCGGGGAAAATGTGTTATAAAACACTGCCCCCTGGAGTATTCTGGAAGGAACATCTGTTTTTATAGGCCAAAAGGGAGGTACTTAACACATTCTTTACTAACCACTAAAGAATGTCTAACAAGTAAAAGCAAACCTCAATAAAGAAATGTAAATGAATGGAGCTGAGAGAGACATATACAATATTTAACATTATTATATTCCTCTTGCTAGAGACTATCGGCCCTGTCGACAATTTCTAATATGATGCTTAAAAGTGAAAACGCCTTAGAACTGAATAGCAGAAGAGATGTTTTGACAAGTGCCACAGAGAAGGAAAAATAATAAATTAAATAGTGAACTTAACATCATGAAAATAAAATAAAATGAGTCAGCATTCGTAAGGTGTGAAATGATCACGTAACATGTACGGAGACGATCCCTATCTACATAAGAAAAAAAAACACAGCAGCGATATCTTGTGGCCTCCACTCCCCTCTGCTGTCCCATCTGGAGGTTATATTTATCTATTTTTTAAGTTAAAATTTAGTTAAATTAACCTGACCGATGCTTCCTCTTTATTCTTTTAACTCAGATACACACACACACACACACGCACACGCACACACACAGAGAGATAATAACCAACAGAAACCACTAATGTAAAATACTGTGTGCATACTTTTTGCCTTGTGCTTCTGAGACTGCCTCCTTGGCATCTGTAGGACACAGCCGTCAGTCCGCTCCTCCATCCTCCCCACCTCACTCACGTGTCCTGCTTCACACAACAGACAATGATCTCTATCGTAAAGCACCTTGTCTTTAGCACGACTCATGGCATTGCTTACTTAGTATTGATCTTTGGACTTGAAAGATCAAAAGCATGCACAGGTCAATTTTCTACACTTAAAAATAATAATAAAAAAGCTTGTTTGTGTTTTTTCTGAAAAGGAAAGGATTTTACACCACGAAAGGAATGCCTGACAGCCTCAGAAACACACGGTGGTTCTGAAGAACACCATCAACACGTACTGCTGTTAGAGTCCCACGAAACCTTCGTTTGTTCTGAATCGCCTGAAGCTGCAAAAGGCCACCTGCAGCAAGTCCCGAGTGCGCTCCCTGACGGTGGCGGCTGTCTGCAGGTGCGTTCACATTACCACCGCAGCCCCAACGGCAGGGCGGGCCGCAGTGGTCTGGGAGGCCGAAGCGGCCAGGTTCTGGGGTCAGGATGAGCTCTGTTCTCTGTTCTCCAGCGTCGCAGATGGTCTTCTGGCTTGCAGAGTGCCATGATATTTTACCAACGTGAAAAACACATATCTCAATGTACCTTCCAGCACAGAGTTTCTGGGAAGAACTTTTGTTGACATATCTAAACTGTAATAGTATAAATCTTAAAACATCTAGGTTATTTTGGCAAAATTAAAGCATCTTAAAAAAAATGAAAACAATAACAAGAAGGCCATCCCAAAATACAGGGCTTTCTTAGAAAGCAACATGCATCACATCTCAAACACGTTACCCACGTGGCTTTCTCCCTCTGACAGGCAGGGGACTGAAGCTGTGCAGCGGGCACTTCTCTGTCTTTGTCCAGGTTGCTCCCCGAGAGGTGAGGGCCGCACTCGCTGGGTCAAGGCTTCCATTAGGGGTGCTGCTCTCACGTCTGCTCTGCCCACGAACACAAGAGCACCTGGTGGCTTCCTGCAGAGACACCTCCTCTCCCACGTGTCAGAGTTTAATGTCCTGGGACTCCGACATCTTGGCAAGGGTTTTCTTAACGCGCAGAGCCGTCAGCCTGGATGCAGGATTGTGAGCCCAGCATTCCGTCATGAGCTTCCCCATCTGCCTTAGACACTGTGGAACGGAGAGGAGGCATTGGAGCAGAGTTAGAGCACTGCATTCTCGCAGGGCTGGGTGGCTACGGACAGCTGCTCGGCAGGTCTGTAGCTCGTGAAGCTGCAATGTGTATTTTTACTATTTTTTTTAAAAAAAGATTTATTTACTTATTTGAAAGGCAGTTACACAAAGAGACAGAGTGCATGCAAGATAGAGACCCTCCATATAACCATTCACTTCCCAAATGGCTGCAATGGCCAGGGCTGGCCCAGGTGGAAGCCAGGAGCCTAAGACTCCATCGGGTCTCCCAACCAGGTGGGTGGCCGGGACCCAAGTATTTGGAACATCTGCTGCTGCTTTCTAGGCACTTTAGCAGGGAGATGGGTTAGAAGCCGGCCTCTGGAATGTACATTTTTAATGGTACCCGTAAAACCGTGTAGAAATAAAACCCCACAGACATTCCTTTTCTTGAAAAATTACCTAAGAACAAAACAGACTGTCATGCCTTCCTTGTGACAGGAGCAAGTAAGTGGTTTACTGATTGTAAAACAGCATCTTCAAAATCAGTATGAAACATATAAAAATACCCTGGGAGACTATGGTCCACACCACTCTCTCAGATTATTTACAAAGCTTGATAAGTTTACACTTTTTATTGAATCCCCTACAATTCAAACAAACGTGGTTATTTCTAAATCACAGCTGTCAGTCTGCTATGATAACAGCGTTACACTGTACTGCTTAGTATTAGCAACCTATGCACAGCAATGCTAAATTTTTTTGTGTTCTCCTGAGATACACCAATTATCAGTCTTCCTGTTGAAAAACACACTTTTCCTTAAGCAGACATCCTCAGCGAAGGGGACTAAGGTGACACCAGTGCCCATCGCTACCTTCAAAATCACCCAAGTCCACTGGCTCACCATACTTTCTGCACAGCTTGTTAGGAAACATGCGCATTATGTTGCATTTAGGTAACTAGACACAAAACCAATGAACCAGAGTTTATTTTTAAATGAATTTTACACTGAAGAATTCATTTATATAAAGGGTGCTGGGTTCATTTGCTTGTGATGGTTTTGGTACAGGTGTGCTAAGAGTGGGTTTGGTTCCTGGGAGTGCTTCAAACTCACCCTGGAAGTTTGAGCTGTCAGAGCAGTTGAGGACCGAGGTGAGTTCGGAGGTGGAGTGAGTGGAAGGAGAGGAACAGGGAACAGGAGGTGGAGCCGGGCGAGGCAAGGCCTGCCAGACTCTTCCTCTTGCCAAGCAGCTCCTTTACAGACCCACGCTGTTTTCAACACCACATTCTCACAGCCAAGCGCAGTGTGGATGTTTTCCAACCACAACCATCAGATGCCTACCTCTCGCCCTCATCCCATGGGAGTCAGCTGACTGTGAAGGTGTTACAGAGCAAAATGATGACACTCTACAAAGGCACATACAAACTAATGATTGCCAGTGGTAAGAACAATAATACTGTTACCTGTTAACACAGACTAAACACTGGTTTAATCAATGTATCAAGTAGCACAGGGAACTTAGAGAAATGCACAAATAAGCTATGTTTATTATAATAAATTACACATAAATTATTGCACCAAGCCAAGCCAAGTCCCTAGGATGACTCTCTGGCATCTGCCTCCCAAGTCCATCATGGCCACAGGGTGACACAAACCTTACCTCATCACTACTCCACCGGTTGGGGAATGAGGGACGTAACTTCTTGATGCATACAATCTCTCTCATGTCCTCATAGGAGGGGTCACTGGGCACTAGGTCATGATAGGGAAGCTGGTACTCTTCCACAATACCTGAAAATGTATTTTTATTATTCATTAGTGTTTGCCAGGAAGTGGAAATCAGAATCTAACACACAAACTCTTCCCAAAATAAGTGTGATTAATATCACAGGTCTTCAAACCTTCTAATTTCCAAAAAGGTAAGCCAAACAAGCACCTCAAAATTATTTTCAATTTCATAAAGACATTTATTTTTGGCAGATATCTCCTGAACTCACCCTGCATAACATGTGACTGCTTCTATTACTCTACTATGACACTGGGACGATCAGAATAGATTTGGAACTGTATCCCACTTGAACAAAATGTCAGATCTACATTTTTTTCTGTTTAATCATAAGGATATGGATTTGTACATTAAACATGCAGAAAATTACATATACATAAAAATATTAATTATAATTTTTAAGTTCAAGGATTTTTGTCTGATTTTTATTTTCTTCTTTAAATTTTCTGTATTTATCCAAATTTTCTAAAAGAATATGTAACTATTAGGGGAGAAAACTGATCATACGGTGTGTACCATCTTCATGGAAATTACACTTAACATTCTAAGTTCTATTTTACCTCTTCTTTCCTTGTCCTTAATTTCAACATTCTCCCCTCTCTTGTCCTTTAAAAAGCCAGCTACTAGTGCCTTCTTTTTAACCTTATCTGATCAATGCCTTACAATCATTATAAGCAGCCCTAGAAGATGATGCTCTGAACAGTCTTCCTGGAGCACACTTGCTCCAAACCCCAAATCATCTGATACAGAAATGTCACTGCCTGCTTACCTGTAAAAGAGGATACCATGAGATTGGCGGATCACACAACATGTTAAGCTGACGGCAGGTGGGGGCATGTGCTAGCAAAATTTGGGGTTTGTGTTATGCCTTTTCTTTAAATTAAAACCTAAATAAAGTCATAAAGGAAAAGGATGCTTTAGAGTGTTCTCAGACTGTTTGCACTCACCATTTGGTTGCTATTTGTGACTAAAGCTACAGAGTGTAAACTCAGGTATTATGTAGGTTACTATTTCCTTCTGTGTTTCAATATCTTCTCCACATGAGTAAGAGAGGCACGGGCCTAGAATAGGCTCCTTTCATCTCAGTCCTTTCTCCCTTGCTAATTCTCAACACACTGGGCTCAAAAACATCTTGAGGGCCAGCACTGTATCTATTTAATTCATCTCACACTGCCCTCAGCGCCCACTGTGGGCACCATTACCTGCATGGATGGATGGATGGTGTGGTACGTGTACACACTACAGCAGGCTTAGGCAGAGTCAACCTCGCAGAATTATGATTTCAGCAAATTCTGGCTTTGAACTATAGGCCTCACTCTTTCCCTTTAGTAGGCAATCAAGTAATCAGAATTTTCCATGTTAACTACCATTTCATTCTGTATTTGAAGACTCAAAACGTTTTTTCTTTTAAAGTCTGAAAGGCCTATGTCTGGATACATATCCTTCACTCAAAAGTCCCTGAGCCAGAAAGAGAAATCAGTAAACCTTCATTATTTTCATAAAGGAAGGTGGCGGGAGAATAAAATTTTCTATGTGCTGCTTTCTGGAAAAAGAAAAGAAAGTCCTTTGATGAGAACCTACTGCTACCAAGCACACAAGGAGGGATGCTATGTAACTGATCTTACTTAATTCTCACAAACTCACGTATGCGATAGCACTATTGTGTGCAGCATTCAGATAAGGAAGTTTGGTTCCAGTGGGCTAAATAACTTGCCCTGAGTCACAGAGCTGGTCTGGGGCACAGCTGTGACTCTAACATCCCTGGGAAGCATTTGTCAAACTCAGCCAGAGATAAGGGAACACTATGCAAAGACAGCCTGGCAGCACCATTAATACCCTGCTGTTCACACAAAGCTTATGTATAAGCTACGAATAATTTCTCATATATGTGGCCCATGGACTTTCAAATACAAGCTCCTTATTTGTTTCAGATACTCAAGAAAATAATTAGAAAAGTGATCTTGTACTCTGCTATGTGTTCGCCATCTACATACCTATCTTAGCTAAGTGTAGGGATATAATTCAAAATTTGGCTCATCTGCTCTCTACAATGCATGAAATCAAGCATAAACAATTAGTTTATATTTTGGTTACTTCTTTTCTTCACCCTTATGATGGAAGACCTATTCAATATTTGCTTAGGGGAATCTTCCTGCGTCAGCTATCCTTTTGGACAAGACAGTCTGTCACTTCAGAGGGAACCCAGTCTACTTCAAGTCGCTCATGAGAGGGCACCGTGTCACAGAAGAGACTTTCTACAAAGTGTGAATGTTCATTTTCTTCCTTATTTAAAACATAAACCTAAATATGTTACAGCTCCGCTAACCAAAATAAAAATTAATAATGATAATCACATATCATTTTTGAGTACGATTTATGGACCAGGCAACTGTAATTCTCTTTGATGGAACAAGGACATAAGCCTCAGCTAGTTTAGGTTCTTGTTACCTCTGCCTTCTTTCAAGAGACCAGTTCCGTCACATCCTGTGTTGTTCCCCATCCCACCCCCTGCATTCTTCCCCAGGTTTGGAAGCCACTGCGCCAACTTGAAGAACCAGGATGGAGAAGCTCATCTCCACCTACTGTCCCCCATCCCACCCCTAGCCCACCTACGATATAAAAAGGCCTGCTGGGGTCAGGGCCTCTGCCACGTGACCTTTCAGTCTGTGAACATGCCAGCAGTTGGTCAACCTCTGTGAGTCTATGTTCTCTGAATAAATCTGTTCTAGCTGCGAGTTCGTATTCTGTCTCCTCTCTGTTCTGTGTCCCTTTTCCTTACATTTGGTGCCCCGTGTGAGGCAGAAGCCAGCTGCATTCTTTTCCTTACACCCTTGATATTCACTGCAACCTCACAACTCAGGTATGCAGGGGAATAATAATCCGCCTTGTGGTTAGGAGGACAACACTGGAACCAAGCAATGTTTAGGCTCCCGCTCAGCATGTCACAAATAAGAAACAGCAGGTGTAAGAACAGCTGTCTGCAAGCAGGCATCTGCCTGCTTCATGGTCAGGATCTCAGAAGCTCCTGTTTTTGCAAATATGAGATCAAACTGTACATAGTGCAGCAGCACAATCTGTACAGAGTATTCGGGGTACCTGATACAAAGGAGGGAGCCGACAACTCAGTTCTGTAGCTACCTACTTAAAGACAGATGATGGAGCAGCATCCAAAACAGCACATGTAGTAATATTTCTGAATATATACAGATGTCTTGTTTGTTGTGATTAGTATTACTAGATAAACCTTATGCTTGTAGATAAATGATCATGAATATTAACAATATTCTGAAAGCTTTAATTTCCTTTTTATAAAAACTGATGTTTTCAGGTTGGTATTTGAGGATGTTTCATAGAAAGTAAAGACATAGGGGAGTTAAGGAATGAGTTTCCATCCACGTTTAGGTCTCTACTGTCCCCTCTATAGGGGAAATGATAATCAAGCACTGGAGGGGGGATGGTGACCAGTGCACAGGTGCTAAGCTCCAAAGCGTAGGGAAGGGGGTTGACTTGATGGAGAAACTGCTGCTGAAGAGAAAGGATACGACACAGAGAAGAGGGTGATCTGAGAAAGGGCAGGGAAAGTGCACAGTGTGTCTAGAAGCTATTCATAAGTAACAGTATTGGAGGGAAGGAGGCAGCTCAAGATTATTCTAAGATGAAAATATCATACAGAGGACAGCACCAACAAAAATACAGAGAAGAGGCCAGTGCCGCGGCTCACTAGGCTAATCCTCCACCTTGTGGCGCCGGCACACCGGGTTCTAGTCCCGGTCGGGGCGCCAGATTCTGTCCCGGTTGCCCCTCTTCCAGGCCAGCTCTCTGCTGTGGCCAGGGAGTACAATGGAGGATGGTCCAAGTGCTTGGGCCCTGCACCCCATGGGAGACCAGGAGAAGTACCTGGCTCCTGCCATCGGCAGCGCGGTGCGCTGGCAGCAGCGCGCCGGCCGCGGTGGCCATTGGAGGGTGAACCAATGGCAAAAGGAAGACCTTTCTCTCTGTCTCTCTCACTGTCCACTCTGCCTGTCAAAAAATAAAAAATAAAAAAAAATACAGAGAAGAATAAAAGAAAATCTGATTCGATATACAATGTGATAGCTTTGATTTTTTTCTCAGAAGTAGCTTTTCAAAGACATCAGTGTTTCTTACCTCCCGATACACATCTCCTAGCAATCTCCCAAAGGATGAGTCCAAAACTGTACATGTCAGCCATGATGTAAGACTGAAAGTGATTTCTGTTCAAGCTTTCATCCAACACTTCGGGAGGCATATAGCGCTTTGTGCCAACTCGAGTGTTGGGTGGTATGTCAACTTCATTGGTATCACTAGGGAAAAAGTAAAGGAAAGCATTAGCGGCACTGAAGAGGAGCAAGTGACAAACCCAGGTGATTCTTGAACAAAGGACTTCAGCCAAAGTTGGCAAAGGAAAACCTTCTGGGGAATAAAAACATTTCCTTGAAAAAATCTATTTTGCTCAAAGTAACACTATATATTCACAGGTAAAAGCCCAGTGGGAAGACTCAATCAGAGTGAAGCCATAACATATGAATTGTATCACCACTAGATCTAATTTAAAACCATTGCTCGATACCCATTAAATGTTTAGAAAATACCTCGTTTCTCTTCATTTTCTAATTTCTTGCTCTTAAAACTGACATGTGTACCTGCAAAATTTTTTGAGAATGTATTTTTTTAAACCAAGTGCTGTGAAGATTTTATACCTACAAACATGTAAGAAAGGGGGTAAGTAGAGGAATGAGGTAAAAGCTTGCAAACATTTTACTTTGACCAGGACAGACATATAAAAAAAGCTTCTTTTACTATCTATTGTTTCACAGCTAAATGGCATTCAGTTTTTTTAAAAGAATAAAATGTTATGGAATGTAATCTATTTAGTTGTATGATAGCTGTACAATATGGTTGCTTTATCAGTATTTTCTGTCAGATGGGGGAAATGAACAGAAAGAAATGCAAGGTGAAAGGTGGAGAACTGCTTCCTCAAAGCAGTACAAGGGGCCACAGGTATTTTTTATTATTAATATAAACAGAACAATTTTTATGTATTTCATTAGGTATAGTTTTAAGAAGGTATCATATTTTCCTACTTCTTTCCTTTCCTCAGTCCTCCTCCTTTTTGTTTTAATTTTTGCAAAGACATTTTTTCAATCTACTTATCTACTCTATAATCATAGGCTTAATTCATCACTCACCATAATATTCAACAAGTATAAAGCAGGAAGACCACAGTTTCACAGGAGTGTAAACAAGGGTTAAAAACAACAATCATATCACAAGATGTTTGTTTCATTCCTATACATTTTTTTGTGTGTTCTATATTAACTGCCTACTTATCAGGGCAAATACGCAATATCTGTCCTTTGAGATTGGCTTATTTCACTAAGTATAACAGTTTTCCAATACATCTGTTTTGTTGCAAATGACAGAATTTCATTCTTTATCCAGTCATTAGTTGATGGACATCTGGGTTGATTTCATATCACAGCTATTTCAAGTTGAACTACTATAACCATAAGGTTACAGATAATTCTTTCATATGTTGAATTCATTTTGTTAAGGGGTAAATTCCCAGCAGTGGGATGGCTGGGTCATATGGTAGATCTATTTTCAGAGCTCTGAGGAATCTCCAAACTCTCTTCCATAATGGTTGTATCAGTTTATATCCCCACCAACAATGGATTAGGGTACCTTTTCCCGCACATCCTTGCCAGACTTTTTTTGTGATTTTTGGATGATACCCATTCTAACTGGGGTGAGGTGAAGCCTCATTGTGTTTTTCACTTGCATTTCCCTGATGGTTATTGATAATGACTCAGACTATAACTTTTAGAAATATACTGAATAGCATTTGTAAAGTGGGCATCCTTGTCTTATTCTGGATCACGATGGAAATACTGGATCATGATGGAAATCATGATGCTGGCTGGCTGGCTGTTTTTCATATACTGCCTTGATTTTGTTGAGAAATGTTCCTTCCATACCCAGTTTGCTAAATATTTTTTTTATCATGAAAGGATGAAATATTTTATCCAATGCTTTCTCTTGAGATAATCATGTGGTTTTTATTATTTAGTTAATGTGATATATCACATTTTTGATTTGTATATGTTGAACTATTCTTGCATACCAGGGATAAATATCACTTGGTCTAGGTACATGATGTTTCTTATGTGATGCTAGATTCAATTAGCTAAAATTTGTTGAAGATATTTTTGCATCTATGTTCATCAGGGATATTGGTCTAGAATTCTCTTTCTTTGTTGTGTCTTTTTCTGATTTTGAAATTAAGATGATGCTAGCCTCACAGAAAGAGTTTGGGAGGATTCCCTCCTTTTCAATTGCTTTGAGTAGTTTGAGAATTGGAATTCTTTAAAAGTTTGGTAGAATTCAGCAATGATGCCATCTGGTCCTGGGCTTTTCTTTGTTGGGAGGGTCTTTATTAATGATTCAATCCTCATCTTGGTTATTGGTCTATTTAGGTTTTCCACATCTTCATGACTCAATTTTGGTAAATTGTACATGTACAACAATCTACCCATTTCTTATAGATTTTCCAATTTGTTGGAATATAGCTGTTTGTAGTTAATTCCTGATGGTTCTTTTTATTTCTTCAGTTTCCACTTTAACAACTCCTTTTTCATTTCTGATTATATTAATTTATAAATTCTCCCACCCCCTTTTTTTGGTTAGTTGGGACACTGGTGTATCAATTTTATTTTTTCAAAAAACTAGTCCTTAATTTCACTGATCTTTGTATCTTTTTTTGCTTTTATTTTTCTTTATTTCTATTCTATTTTTAATTATTTCTCTCTTTCTCCTAATATTGGGTTTGATTTTTTCTTGTTTTCTTAGGTCCTTGAGATACATTATTAGATCAATTTATTTGATACTTTTGATGTAGGCACTAATTGCTATAAACTTTCCTCTTCACACTGCTTTTGCTGTATCCCACATGTTTTAATACGTTGTGTTGTTATCTTCATTCATTTCCAAGAATTTATTTCACTTCTGATTTTTTTCTATGACCCACAGTTCATTCAAGACCATATTATTCAGTCTCCAGGTATTTGAATATTTTTTAGTTTCCTAAGTTGTTAATTTTCAGCTTCATTCCATTGTGATCAGAAAACATACATGGCATTTTTTTTTTAATTTGTTGAGACCTGCTTTATGGCCTATACAGTTCTTGATATTTAGTACATTTATATAGTTGTACAAAAGTGATTCATTTTAGAATGCATTTGCATTGAATCATCTGAAATTGACAACAGTGAAGGGCAGGAGTTTGGCACAGTGGCTGAAGCCCACTTGAGAGACACATGCCATATAGAGTGCCTGGTATGAGTCCTGGCAACTCTAGTTTCCTGCTATTGCACTATGGAAAGCAATGGGTGATGGGCTCTAGTATTTGGGTCTCTGCCACCATTGCAGGAGACCTAGCTGGAATTCTGGACTCCCGGATTCAACCTGGCCAGCCCCAGCTGTTGTAGGAATTTGAGGAACCAGTAGATGGAAGATTTCTCTCTGTGCCTTAAAAGTAAAATTAAAATAAAGGGGCCAGTGCTGAGGTGAACTGGGTAAAGCTGCAGACGGCAGTACCAGCATCCCATATGGGCATCGGTTCGAGTCCCAGCTGCTCCGCTTCCTATCCAGCTCTCTGCTGTGGACTGGGAAAGCAGTAGAGGATGGTCCAAGTCCTTGGGCTCCTGCTCCCATGTGGAAGACTTGGAAGAAACTCCTGGTTCCTGGCTTCAGATCAGCACAGCTCTGACCATTGCAGCCATTCAGGGAGTGAACCAGCAAATGGAAGATCTGTCTGTCTGTCTGTATCTCTCTCTCTGCCTCTCTGTAACTCTGCCTTTCAAATAAATAAATAATTGTTTAAAAAAAAGATGGGCTCCATGGGAGCACATTCAGAAAGGCCAAAGATGTACTCTGACCACATCAGATAAAGATCTGGGGCAATTTCATGCTCTCCTTAGTCTTAGCCTCATAATGCTACTTGGATTTGGCAAGTCAGGAAAGGATAACAAAATCTGATATTGAGACATCTACTGGAGAAATGAAAAGTGACTGTTACCTAATGACATAATGAAGACTTGTGATAGCTGGACTCTACAGGAAGGTACTTCAAAAACCTTGTGAAAAACAGAATTGTAAAAGAAGCTCATTTCAGTGCCAAAAAATTTTGAAACCCATGCATAGTTTCTCATCATACACCTTCCCAGGAACTTTTTGAAACCCCTCATATATAGGTCATCTTTAAACTCTCTTTCCCTCAAAGCCTGCAAAAGTATAATCAAAGACTCTGAAGACGTATCAAACATGCAAGCCTCATTCCTCACACCACCCAGGCATGCTCAGTGAGGCCAGTGGCGAGTGTCTGGATGAAGACTCTCCCCACTAGACTGAGTCAATACTGTCAGGAACTTCTTTGAGCCCAAAATATCTGTCACAAGCATTTAGGGTATTTCCTAAGAAGGACATTCACGGTGTGTCATGCCAATCATACACTGAGTGAAAGAGGGAAAAGGCCAGCCTTGAGTGTGCTTTGCTATGGAAAGAAGAAAAATTTTAAATCTGTTCTACATACACTATAAAATGAGAGATTGCTGATATAGAGAAGGATAGAGAGAATTTTGTTGAGCAAATTCATGCTGTAAAATGTTACTATTAACCCAGTGGGAAAAATCCTTTCACGCTACATTGAAGCATCAAACATACTAAGTTCACAGTAACTAAAAGATAGTATCAGACATAGAGCTCTTGGACATACTGCTCTGCCCGTTCTTCCCTCCAGCATGTTTCTATGCTTGAAAGTAACTAAAGTGCATTTCCTCCTTGGGTTTTCAGTACCATCACTCTACCTATTCCCAAATAATGCAGCAGAGAGAGAAACTGGGCTTGTCTTAATCTGGAAGATCAAAAACAGAAATTACAGTGATGTTAATATTGGGTCACCAAGAATAAAGAACAAGAGAGAAAAGCAGAGTATGATAGTATCATGCATGTAAGAACAGGATACAGTGTGAGAGAAGGGCCAAGGAGAAAGAAAGATGCAGAAGCGGCTGGGGGCCATCAGCTTGCTCTGGCTTCCCTATCCACAGAGGGGTGACAACCAGGGCAGGCAAGAAAAGGTGGCCCTTGCACTGAGGGTGTAGTCAGTTGAAACAACTCCAAACCCAGCAGGTAATCCTATGCACACCTGTAGTCAAACCACGCAATCATACACAGGAAGTGTAGAGAGGACACCAGGTAGTTCTAGGAGGGATAAAAGCGGATAAATGTAGGAGGGAATGTAATGGGG